TTCTATCTTTGATCCTTAGGATAAAAATATATATATATAGATCGAATGAAAAGAATAAGCGCACCTATATTAATAAAGCTTTAATAAAAAGTTCACTCTTTGTCTTGATGATCAGTACTAGATTTGTGTGCTAATTTGAGGGTAAGGATGTGATCATTTCCCTAGTTGGCTTAGATAACAACATATTTGATGCCGGTCCACTGAAAAAGAATTTTAGAGTTATTTTGATTTGCGTGATCATTTTCTTGATGTGTGAAGGACCATACTTGTTTGCTTGATGTTGAGATTTTGGCAGATTGCTTGGAAATGGTTGAAAAATTGCATACTTGAGGTAGTTTTCTCCCAATGCTTATTTGCAATATTGGTGCCTCTTTTGTGATAATGAGCTTAATGTTTGTGGGTATCATTTTTGGAAACCCCCACGAGACTTCACTCGTCCACTAGGGGTAACCTAAGGGTTTAAAAGGCTTGTTGCATATGCTAAATGCAATCGTGTTCCCTACAAAAGTGGCGTTATCTATTTATTGCTTTCTAGTTCATAGTTGTATAATTGTTCATTTCATTCCTTTAATTTGTAGTTTATTACTTGAGACTAGCAGTATTTAAGTTTGGGGGTGTGATGAGCGCTGAAAAGTGCATATTTAAACCCCTTAAGTTCGAGTATTCTAGGACCTTTATCTATCTTATTTTCTCATTTTAGACTAATTTCATGTTATTGCCCTTTTTAGGCGCTTATCCCCAAAATAAGTCAATTCAGCCAAATTAGAACATAAAAGAAGTAATCTCAAGCTAAAAGGAATAAATGAGCAAAATGGAAGCAAAGTGGTGGAAAACAGCAAGCTTTGATCGATCAGACATATTTTCGATCGATCTCACAGTGATCGATCCAGCCTCACCAAGATGGATCAAACCCTCTTGTTCTTATCCTCAAGAATTTCCATCTTCGATCGATCCAACATTCTTCAGATCAATCGAACTTTTTTGATCTTATCCCCACCTACCACTTTTGTCTTTTTCCCAAAACATCCCAAAAATATCTCAAATTTATCTTATTCTAAAAAGGCGCCGCCAAGGTTTAATCGATCTGGCCATACATCGATTGATCTAGCCATAGTTCGATCGATCTCATCAGAATTCGATCGATCGAACCTCCTCAAGTCCGAAATAAAACAGAGTCCAGCTCATTAAAAGATGGCTCATGGTGCAATCATTGAAGGAGCCCTAGTGCACGAAACCTGACCATTGGGTGTGACATTAGAGCTACCTATATAAGGATTTTGAGCCATTTTTACATATCATATATCATACAACAATAGAATAGAGGAGAGAGCCTAGAAATTAGAGAGAGACATACACCATTTGGGAGTTCTTCCATTCATCTAGGGTTTCCATTAAGGAGAAGGAGATCATTCCTACCATGGAGATGGACCTTGAGGGTTGGATAACTTCATCAATGAGTGGCTAAACATTTTCTTGGGGCTAGAGTTAGCCCAAAGCATGCCTTTTAGACCTTGATGTTTTGTATTTTGAGGGGATTTGTGTTATAATCTTGTCTTGACATTTAATTTATATATGAATCTGTTTCCACAATGATTTGTGTTATTTAATACTTCCAATTGATTATTTCATTCTATTCATATGTCTATTTATGCTAGAATAGGTGTTCATGTATTTATATCTTGGTTTTATGATATTGATGCATGTCTATATGTGTTGATGCTCTGAATCTAGAGATTGTCAAGGCATAGTCCTTTAATAGAATACTCTTGTGGCTTGTTTGATGGTTCATACTCATTTCTTGATGGATTGTGCCTTTACCTTAGTTTAATTTTCATGTCCCTAACTTAGTTATAATGTAGTTGCCTTATTCTCCTAGATGGGAGGACAATCCATGCTTGTTGTTTGATGTTCCATACTTATGTATGCAAATAGTATAATTCTCTAACTTGTTAATGTGTTTGATTGTGAACTTAAAGGAATGAATAATAGCTTAGTTTGATATATTGTGCTATTCATTAGGTTGTCTAGACAATGTATACTTAATTAATCATCCATGCTTGTTGATTCAATCAATCACACATATTAGTATTGCAACACATATTTCCCCTCATTCATTATACATTGAGTATCTAGAAAGGTGATGTTTAGTGGTGACCTCTAAATACCAAGACCTTTCACTCTTGTTCTTTACCCTTTATTTACTTTGTATTGATTTTATTTTACATTGTAATTTAATTAACAAATCATCCCACCTTTTGATCACTCGATCTATTAATCCGACCTTGTTTCCATTTCAAACACGCATTCGATCCCTTGGGGTAATCCCTACTCACCCTAGCTATATTATTAGTTAGAGGTAGTAGTGGCACTTTATAAATTCAAACTTAGCCACTCTTTAGCACGTTTTAGCTGGTTGTCCACGACACACACCACTCATCAAACCGTGACACTGCTTCGGGAAACTTGGAAAGAGAGCATCTGTGCCAGGCACCTAGGGTCGGATTGATTTTTTCCTTCTTTTTTTTTTCTACTTCAAGGCATATGATTATAATGCATCATGCATACATTCTGGGTTTCGTTATCAATTAAAATATTTACATTAAAATTTAATTATCCTTTCTTTTTTTAGGGCCTTTCTTTCTTCAGAAAGTTTGTCGTACTCTTCCTTTCATTTTGTACACTCCCTGATCCATGGCTCTTTATCAACAGTAGACATTGCATTCCATGTCTGTCTAGCAGATTTGTGCACCGCATGCATCACTGCCTTCGGTAACCTGTCATGTTTTGAGTGCTCTATCTGGTACTTTCTAATGCAGTCGGCCCTTCATATATGCATTGCATATTATCACAACTTATTTTTACATGTATTATGTATGAATTGCATATTGTATCAACATATTTTTCTAACACGTTAAAACAATTAACTTCCCCAACTCAGTTTCACAATTCATAAATTAATAATAAGAATCACAAATACTTTCAACATATATGTAGGAAGATTTGCATATTTCATCACCTATTATTTGTAACGCAATACAATACAAAAGTTGGACAGATCAATTTATTATGCTCACAACTTATCTAAACATGTATCATGCATGAAATTAACTTGTTATTTATATTGCATCAACATATTGACCTAACAACTTAAAAAAAATAACTTCCACAACTCAATCTCACAATTCCTAAATTAATAATAACAACCACAAACACTTTCAGTATATGTAGGAAGATTTCATATTCGGAGATAACAAATTATTATTATCACAACTTTTTAAAACATGTATCATATATCAATTGCATATACCATCATAATATTTTCCTAACACGTTAAAAAAATTAACATCCAAAACTCAAGTTCACCATTCCAAACCCAAAAATCTGAAATAAATTTCTAAACCCTAAAACAAATCGATACATAATCAATGTTTACCTATACATTAAGAACACTGTGGGAGGCCGGTTCACCAATTCCTGCTCACCATCGGAAATAACAACACTGCTTCGTCGTTCACGTGAGGTTTGTCCTTCATGTGAGACGTTTTCTGTTCTTGTGTCGTCGGTAGAAATTGACTTCTTCTTCTTAGGTAACTGGAACGTACGTTTATTCATTTTCGTCCTCGCTATAGATTTTAACCTAGCCATTAAATTTTGAAATCTCGAAGTTCAGACGAAGACGAAGAGGAGAGTACAGGAGTTGGAAGGAAGATGAACAGTGGAAGGTTCAGACGACGCGACGAAGACAAAGAGCAGAGTAGAGGAGAGATATTAAGATTCTGTAATTTTACCCAAAGGTAAAGTTAAAGGTAATTTTTAATAAAATTAAATTAAATGTAATTGTAAATTATGTATTCTTATACGTATAATGTATAAGTGTATAGTGTATTAGTATAAGTGTATGGGGTATTCGTACATGTGGTAAATGAAAATAGTACATTAGTAACTTTTTTGTGTAAATGCTGACTGGATGCTGACTGGATGATGATGTGGCAAATGGGCTGGTTTCACCTCAGCCCTTGGATCTACACTGGATCTGCTCCGGTGAGAGGTGCACCGGAGCAGATTCGCGTCCCCAACGAAACTGGCTGTTTACAAAACGCTTAACAACACTTACTTTACATGTTATAACATCAATGTTCGAGTTCTATTTAAACAATGATTGTAATTTGTAAAAAATTGTATATATCCAAAGTTTATCTTATAACTTTAAATTTAAATGGTGGTTCCTTGTTACCCAAAATATATGCAAATGTATTTGGTTGTGAGGTACACAAAATAACAACAATTTTTCCTTGTTTCATACATGAACATAGACCAATTAACAAGAGGGAGATAAATGAAAAGTGATAGCTAATGGAGTAGAGAAGAGATGAGCATGGTGAGAATCTCAGCTTTTTGCAATGATTATTATTTTTACCAAGAAACTCAATAGTGAATACTACCGGTTCTTACATGTCAACTAAATTCTTTAAGAGTACGTATCTTCTGGTGTAACAGTACCATGTTGTACAACATAAATGACCATATCATCCACGTGTAGATAATCTAAGTCATCCCCTACCGTACAACATCTTGTCCTTACAACACTCAGTTTCCTTCTTCAGTGCATGCATGTTTTGCAGCTCTGGGACAATACCCTCTAATTTTCTGAGTTTTTTTTTTAGAACGGAGTGAGGGCATTGTCAAATTACCGACAATAATTGAGTTGACCATTCATTAATTTAGGGAGTAAACATAGCAAAACAATGCTTTAATAGTTAATCATCAAATTGAAAAGAACAAAAAAAAAAAAAAAAAATTACAGAAAAGTTTGTGGCAAAATCCATAGAATTCAGACCTACTAGATGAAAATGTTAAAACCTGCTGTTTGTTCAAACTTCAAACTGTTTGTATTTCAGGAAAGTTTCAACATGGTATCTGTGTTATAATTCATTTGAATTTTAGGTAGTCGAAATACACTTAAAAGTAAAAAGAAATAACTAGTTTGATTCCTCAAAAAATAAAAAATAAATAAATAAATTATTTGATAAGTTTTGCTCATCATCTTTATCCCCATCATTGTTATTTTCTCTTGTTTGGGAGGAGGGAATGAAAGAAAAAACATCATTGCAGCAATCACCAACACTTGAAACTTCGTCCCTCTGACCTATAAGACTACACTTTTATAAACTTGTGAGGTCCTGAACATACATGAACAAGATTCCATGGTTTTTACAAGCAAATTTGCCCAGAAATAGTACTTTTGAACAGAAATTTTGTTCCCTGAAGGCAAGACTGACAATCTAGCATGAAAACGGCTGTATGAAAACTGGCATTACGGGTGACCTCAACATGGTAAATAATGACATATTTTAGCTTCAAACTTCAGCAGAAGATAGAAGGGGAGAGCTACGGCCGTCGGAGTTCTTGGAGTAGTGGATTGGCACCAAAGCTGGATCTTGATAGGCGGTCACCAGCTTATCATAAAATTCAGTCATTGTAACATCATTGCAGTCTTGTCTGTCCTTCTTAATCAAACTCTGGAAAAAAAAAAAAAAAAAAAAAAAAAAAGAAGATAAACACCATCAAGGTAATAAATTGAATGGAAATAAAAACTCAGACAGGATGGATGGTGGTGGAGGTGGAAGGAATGCCACAAATTGGATTAAATGAATTTACTTTGGACATGCTTGCCAGGAGTTATTTGATACTGCTGTGAACTCAAACTTACCTTTCCAAAATTATGTTTTTGAAGTTCCAATTACCAAAGAGGAAGTATAAATATCTCATCTACTAATCTAATTTTTTTTACCCAGTGACATTATGTTCTTGCTAGCTGTCAAGAAAGTAAAATATAAAATTAAAATCTACCAATGGCGGAATGACCACTAAATCTCTAGAAACCCTTCCAAACACATAAGAAACAGGAAAAAGAAACAAAAGGTAACATATCTTAACCCTAATTCTCTAGAGGGCTATGGGAAGTTTATATTACAGAGAAAACTGTGGAAAAATACGAGTTAGTATCCTTGATTAGTGGTAGGTTAGCACTAGAATTGTGTAAATATTTGTTTTCTAGAGTTTAGGGATTTGTGTAAATATTTGTTTCCTAGAGTTTAGGGATTTGATTGATAGAGAATCAGGGATTCCTGATTATAGGATTTTCAAAATTTAGTTAGTTGTTGATTTTTCTCTCTGTAATTTCTTATATATAGCCCAACAAAGGCTCTTGTAAAAATATTAACAGATTCAATATAATTGAATTCATTTCACCACATGGTATCAGAGCCGTAAGGCTTGGATTTCCTGTAAAAAAAAAAAAAAAAAAATCAGTGGGTTTTTTTTTTTTTTTCTGGTCATGCTTTCATAGCCAATTTTCTCTGTGACTTGCCTTCATCGCAATCATTCTCTGGCAATTTCTTTTGCCAATTTTCGCATAACCCTTCTGTCCGGCCTTCATAGCCGATTGTTGAAGAATGTCAGAAACTACTGTTCAATCATCCCAATCACCCGAGGAAGAGCAGGTTCAGCGCTCCATAAGTGAACTGCAGAATATTCACCGGTGTACCGACTTAATGGAAGAAACTACTTGCAATGGTCTCAATTGGTTCAAACTTTTCTGAAAGGAAAAGGGAAATTAAGTCACTTGCTGGGAACCTTGAGAAACCATCTTCTGGTGCTTGTTCTTTAGCCCTCTCAGGTGAGTCTTTATTCTCCCTTGGATTAAATGTTTCTGATAAATTGTTTGTGGATTCTTGGATCATAGACTCGGGAGCGCCATAGACCACATGACACATGCCTCAAACCAGTTCAACACTAATACCCCATGTCCTAGCAATAAGAAAATCACTGTTGCTGATGGAACCACAACCACGGTTGCTGGTGTAGGAGATATCCATATCACTTCTAGGTCTTGTTCTTAAAAATGAAACTTTAGCATGGGCTCATGAACGGACACCTTTGGCCAATTTGATTCGATGGAGAGATAAACCAGTGGCCCTTTCCATTGTGCAAGCAAGATTGGTTGGATTAGCCCACTTTTCTGTAGGTTATATATTTACGTATGCAGCTTTCTTGATTGCCTCGACATCGGGTAAATTTACATGTTCCTAAATTGTCCGCTAACCTTGTGTCCATTCAAAAGCTTATTAGAGACTTACATTGTCATGTTACGTTTTATCCCTCTTACTGTGAATTTCAGGACCAGGATTCGGAGAGGAGGATTGGACGTGCTAAGGAAAAGGAAGACTCTACTACCTTGAGACACCGAGCCTTCCGAGTATGATCAGGACAAATTTATCCTCTTCGTTTCTCTCTTCTTCCAATAAAGATGTCATATGGTTGCATCATTTTTGTCTCGGACATCCTTCTTTTGCAATTCTAAAAATCATGTTTCCTTCATTGTTTAAGGGATTAAATATTGGAACATTTCATTGTGATATTTATGAGTATGCAAAACACACTCGTGTAGCTTTTCCCATTAGCAATAAAAGAAGTTCCTCCCCTTTCTATTTAATACACAGTGATATATGGGGACCCTCCACAGTCCCAAATGTTTCTGGTTCACGGTGTTTTGTGTCCTTTATCGATGATTGCACTAGAGTCTCTTGGATATTTTTACTCAGAAACAAATTAAATGTGAGTAATATCTTTCTCAATTTCCATACAATGATCCGCAATCAGTTTGGTACCAAAATAAAGAGGTTTAGGTCTGATAAAGCGAAAGATTATTTCAATCAAGTCTTGTCACCCTTCTTTCAAAAGGAAGGAATTATTCATGAGTCATCTTGCATTAATACTCCACAACAAAACGGAGTAGCCGAAAGGAAAAACAGTTATCTCCTAAACACTACTAGAGCACTCTTGTTTCATCAAAATGTACCAAAACACTATTGGGGGGAAGCAGTACTTACATCTGCCTACATCATAAACAAACTTCCTTCACGGGTTTTAGGGTCAAGAAGTCCAATGGAAGCCCTTTCCAAATTCTACCCCGACCTTAGTGCCACAAACAACCTTACCCCTGGGATATTTGGGTGCACTTCATTTGTTCATGTCCATAGCAACAACCGGGGCAAATTAGATCCTACAGCCATTACGTGTGTGTTTGTAGGATACTCGTCCACACAAAAAGGTTACAAATGTTTTCATCCTCCTACCAGGAAACTCTATATCTCGGCTGATGTCACATTTACAGAAGGGAAACCGTATTTTATTGAACCTTATCTTCAGGGGGAGTCGTCTATCATGGAAGATAAGGATTTTTTCCAGCTCGCTTTACCGTCTTCGTCTCGTTCACCATCTCTCTTACCTGTATCAAACACTCAATCCAACTCAGTACCTGAGCCTGAATCTCTTGTTTTGTCACCTATGTCTCCTATTGTGTTTCCTGTGAAGGATAATATGACTCTTAATCACGTACGGTATGAGAAAGGGAAGGTGTACTCGAGGAAGCAAGGTCCAGCTCCTGATCCGGTGCAGGCCCAAACCTCCAACTTGGCTCCTGAGAATGAGGTAATTGTATCTGAACCTACTCCACTTATAGAACACCAGCTCCCTGGACCTCAAATAACTGACCAAGATTTGCCCATAGCCGTGAGGAAAGGAACTCGAGAGTGTACCAAACGACCATTATACCCTTTATCTCATTATGTATCCTTCAAGAAATTCTCACCAACCCATAGGAGTTTTCTCACGAGTCTAAATGAAATCTCTATTCCAAACACTTTATCTGAGGCATTATCCAATGAAGAATGGAGGAAAGCAATGAGAGTTGAGATGGACGCATTGAAAAAAAATGGGACATGGGAGGTGGTTAATCTACCAAAAGGAAAGAAGGCAGTAGGGTGTAAGTGGGTTTTTACCTTGAAATATAAAGCTGATGGATTATTAGAGCGCTACAAAGCACTAGTTGCTAAGGGGTACACTCAGACATATGGAATTGATTACCAAGAGACCTTCGCTCCAGTTGCAAAAATGAACACTGTAAGGATCTTGTTGTCATTAGCAGCCAATTTTAATTGGGAATTACAGCAGTATGATGTGAAGAACGCATTTCTACATGGTGACCTGGAAGAAGAAATCTATATGAGCATCTCGCGATGATTTGGAGGAGTTGAAGGGAACAAGGTATGCAAGTTAAGGAAGGCCTTATGCGGTTTAAAACAATCGCCCTGTGCCTGGTTTGGGAGATTTACTAAGGTGATGTTAGTTACAAGATACAAGCAGAGTCAGGGAGATGACACTTTTCATCAAACACTCGGTTCCAGGGAAAGTCAAGGTCTTGATAGTCTACGTGGACGGCATAATTATGACTAGTAATGATGAGAAGGAGAAGCAAGCCTTGAAACAATGTTTGATCAAAGAATTTGAGATAAAAGATTTGGGGAGATTGAACTATTTTCTAGGGATAGAAGTGGCTCATTCTAGACAAGGTATCTTCATCTCGTAGCAAAAGTATGTCGCCGATCTTCTTAAGGAAACAGGAATGCTCGCAAGCAAACCAACTGCAACACCTATAGAGCCGAACCATAGACTTAGAAAGGCTATTGGAGATCAAGCAGTAGATAGAGAGATGTACCAGAGATTAGTTGGAATATCTTGCCCACACCCGGCTGGACATAGCATATTCTGTTAGCGTCATCAGCCAATTCATGCATGACCCCAAGGAGATTCATCTTCAAGCTGCCTACCGTGTGCTTCATTACTTGAAAGCTAATCCTGGGAAGGGGATAATGTTCAAGAGAAACTCTGAGCTTGTCCTTGAAGCCTACACAGATGCAGATTACGCAGGGTCCCCTATGGATCGGAGGTCTACTTCAGGTTATTGTACATTCCTTGGAGGCAATTTGGTAACATGTCGAAGCAAGAAGCAAAATGTTGTAGCCCGGTCAAGTGTAGAAGCCGAGTTTAGAGCAATGGCACAAGGTGTCTCTGAGTTGTTATGGCTGAAGATTATACTGGAAGACTTGAAGATTAAATGGAGTGGACCAATGAGACTCTACTGTGACAATAAATCAGCAATCAACATTGCACATAATCCAGTGCAACACAACCGAACTAAGCACATCGAGATAGACAGGCATTTTATCAAGGAAAAACTAGAAAGCAGATTAATTTGCACACCATACGTTCCCACGGGAGGTCAAATGGCAGATGTTCTTACAAAGGGGCTCAACCGTGTTATCTTCCAAGAAATTATTTCCAAGCTGGGAATGGTTGACACCTATTCACCAGCTTAAGGGGGAGTGTGGAAAAATACGAGTTAGTCTTCTTGATTAGTGGTAGGTTAGTACTATAATTGTGTAAATATTTGTTTCCTAGAGTTTAGGGATTTGATTTATATAGAATCAGGGATTCCTGATTATAGGGTTTTCAAAATTTAGTTAGTTGCTGATTTTTCTCTCTATAATTTCTTATATTTAGCCCAACAGAGGCTCTTGTAAAAATATTAACAGATTCAATATAATTGAATTCATTTCACCACAAAAACTGTAGAGCAGAATAGAAGATTTTTTTTTTTTTGGTTATCTGACCTAAA